TACCATAGTAATGTATATTTTTTTTTACACCATCAGAAAGTAGAGAGTTCATCGAACAAAAAGCACACCGAGTTTTTGAAAAAAGCTGATATTTTGACGCGAAAATTTTCGATTGAAAATTAGGGTGCTTTTTTGATATTAAGTCAAAATAAGGCGAAATAATAAATATTTCAAATCAAATAAATTACAGTGTATTTGGGACATAAAAAGGTAAGTTTTACCAAATTTCGTGGAAAAAAATTTTTTTTTGAAAAAGATAAAAATAAAAAACCAAAAACTTGGTTTTTTAAATTTTTCACATAAAATTTGAGGTTATGTGAAAAAATTGTAAATATAAAAGTTGTAGATCTTTTTATTACCTACAACTTTGACATTTAACTTTTTTCCATAGGACTTGTAGTTTTGCCGGAAATCGAGATAAACCATTTTTTACCCTTAAACCCCCCCCTCCCACTTCCCGAACTCAGATCGCCCGTAATTTATTTTTCCTTTAATTTTTATTATATTCCCCTCCTTTTCCAATGGGTTTCATCCTACTGTTATTTTTTTCTCTTTTTACCATTTTTAAAGGCTTCTGCACTGGTCTAAATTTACCTGTGCCACATTCAATCAATTGAATCAGTGCAACGTAAATTTCTAAAATTTTTAAGTTACAAAACGTTTGAAGTATATCCCCCTCAGGGTTTTGATCATTTGGTACTGCTTGATACCTTTAATTTTGATTCTTTAAGTGTAAGAAGGGATAAAATCTCCATAACCTTTTTATTTAAATTAATTCATAATGTTATAGACTGTAGTGACTTACTGGGACAGTTAAATTTTTATGTACCAAGACCTAATAATAGGCAAACATTAGTATTTAAGTGTCCAAGGGCACGTACCAACATGTTAGTAAGGTCGCCGATATATAAAATATCCCTAACTTTTAATTTCTAGTTCCTGTTTCTACACCTGTTCCTGAACCTGTTCCTGCTGTTAAGGCTGCACCCGCAGAACCTACATTAGTTCCCGAACACACGACGAGTTCCGGCAGAAGAGTGCGATTTCGAGTAATTTTGAATTTGTAGACAAATTCTCTGCCTAGGGGGGTAGTGTGGCGGCCTAGCTTCAACAATCGAACGTTGATAACAAAAGTGCGGGCATAGCAACGAACATTGAATTGAATATAGAGACGTCAATGATGATTGTCAACAGTTGTATCTCAATAAAGTTATGTTATAATTAAATAGGAGATATCACCCTTTATTTCCTATAAGCTTATTGGATTCGTCTTCTAGCTGAGAAAAAAATTGATTTTTTGAAAAAAAAATTTGGAAAATCAAATGTATTTTCTTTCATCTTAATTTGTTAAAAACTTTTAAAATTTTTATGTGCTTTCAAACTTGTTGACTAGACTATAAATGAGAACCACTGCAATGCTATACTTTTCATGCTCAAGTGAAAGTAGGGGAATAGGTGCGCACTCGACGTTTTTTGCGATTCTCGCGCAAGCCTACGTCAAAATTCTTGGCCAAGAATCTGGTCAAATTCTGGTCACAGACTTGTCCAAGTCTGCCACCAGTCTGGATAAAGAATTTTGATCAAGAGTCTTGGTCAAGAATTATCCAATTCTTTACAAAGTGCTTCTCCAAGTATCTTGACAAAGAATCTTGTCCAATTCCATTGCTACTAGGGAATTTTATGTGTAATTTAAAATGTAAAAATATATGGAGTGTTCTATTTGAAATAACAAAGTTCCGGTCAAACCGGAAGTGGCATTTTGTTCAAAACGCTTTTAAATTTCAAATCGATAATTTTTTTCCGTTCCCCAAAACTTCCAATAGACCACGAATGTGAAACACCCTGTATATCAAGTGGTGTTTTTTAGGTTGTGATATCACTATAGATTCTAAAGCAACGTATAATCGTGAAACTAAAACATCAAGATTTGTTTCCAATCTTAATATAGAGTCAATCCAAATGAAAACACCAAAAATGAATTTAAAAGTGCGCTGCATGATTTTTTATTTTGATGAAAAAATTTGAGGATGATCTTTTAGGTGTCAAATCAATTTTTTGTTGCTTTACTTTTATTTGGCACCCCTTAGAAGTCTGAAATAGTGTCAATTTCTTACTCTCTTATAGTGGGCCAGAACTTTTTTTCTGTGACAAATATTGAAATAATTTTAATTTTGTTTTACTGTCCAGTAAGTGTGTTTTCGATATAAATTATTATTATCCAATTAGTTAATCTCATAAAAGAATGGTAAACCACTAAAGATTCATGATAATTTGCCAATTTTTGTGATTTTTGTCTGGCTCCTGTGCCTATTCTACTGAATTTAGAAGGTTCATTTTTTTCAGGTGTAAAGTACTTATACAATAGAAAACGTAACTATTATTTTAAGTTTCTAGACTATCAATTTCTTTATTAAAAAAATTATTGAAAATTGATAATTCTCAAAATTAGCCAATTTTGCCCTCAGAAATCATTATGTTGAGGAAAAAATAAAAATCTGAAACTTTCAGGAAATGTAGTCCCCACCTTCATCTTTTCAGACCAGTTAGTCTTGTTTTGTTATTTTTATTCCTTTAAAAGTTATTTTAATTTTTTTAATGGCCGTTTAGTAGCGATGTTGTTAGTTTTATTTATAATTTAAAATTTAGATGGCTTTCATGTTTGGTGGAGAAGTGTCAGAACTGTCAAAAATATTTCATAAATTTTAATTGTGCGTATTTAAATTGTGATTTCAAAAAGTTTGCAAGTTTGCAAGTGTAATAAATGACGGAGTGTTCGAGATTCATGAATTTAATTGCCATTAAAAATGCAAGAATATATCATAATTTTGTACCTCTTTCTTATAGAAAATATTTAAGTTCTGAGAAGTTTTAAATTGTTAAAAATAAGCAAAACCCAAAAAATATTCTAAATAAACCCCTTTATTATAACATGTTTTATTTTAACCAGTTACCTAAAAACTAAAATTTAAAGAAGTATTTACAGATTGTGTAAATTTTTTCCAACACTAACATTTAAAATACATACATTTAACTTTTAACTATTTAGTGCCTTACTAAAGGGATCAAAATAATAGAAAAAGACTAACTTGGTTTAAATTGTGAAAGAAACCGACAAAAAACTGCTTAACGCATTTTTTATACGTTTAAATTAACTCTATTAATTTAACATATTATACTTAACGATATAAACCATATATGGTTATAAGGATCTTGAATATATTTTTTACATTCTTCTTCTTTAAACACCAATTAGCCAATTAAATACTTCATTATAATGTATATAATATATAATCACATATATATATATATATATATATATATATATATATATATGATTTTTCAATACATAAAATATAACATAACTACCAAAAATATCAGAACTGTCAAAAATATTTCATAATTATTATTTGTGGTACTCCTTTGGTGATTTTAAAAAGTTTAAAAATAATATTTATGAAATATTTTTGACAGTTCTGACACTTCTCCACCAAACATGAAAGTCATCTAAATTTTAAATTATAAATAAAACTAACAATATCGCTACTAAACGGGCATTAAAAAAATTAATATATCTTTTAAAGGAATAAAAATAACAAAACAAGACTAACTGGTCTGAAAAGATGAAGGTGAAGACTACATTTCCTGAAAGTTTCAGATTTTTATTTTTTCCTCAACATAATGATTTCTGAGGGCAAAATTGGCTAATTTTGAGAATTATCAATTTTCAATAATTTTTTTAATAAAGAAATTGATAGTCTAGAAACTTAAAATAATAGTTACGTTTTCTATTGTATAAGTACTTTACACCTGAAAAAAATGAACCTTCTAAATTCAGTAGAATAGGCACAGGAGCCAGACAAAAATCACAAAAATTGGCAAATTATCATGAATCTTTAGTGGTTTACCATTCTTTTATGAGATAATTAACTAATTGGATAATAATAATTTATATCGAAAACACACTTACTGGACAGTAAAACAAAATTAAAATTATTTCAATATTTGTCACAGAAAAAAAGTTCTGGCCCACTAGTGCACTATAAGAGAGTAAGAAATTGACACTTTTTCAGACTTTTAAGGGGTGCCAAATAAAAGTAACAAAAAATTAAAACGGCAACGGATTTTCATATTTGACACCTAAAAGATCATCCTCAAATTTTTTCATCAAAATAAAAAATCACGCAGCGCACCCCATTTGGTGTTTTTATTTGGAATGACTCTATAAGATAAATACAAATCTGTTGTTTTATTAAAAAAAATAAAAAATTAAAACCAGAAATATTTTTTTTACTTAAAAAAAAAATTAAAATTGTTATCTTCTTTAAGTATAATTTTTGTATTATGTAAAAACATAAATTATTTTAAGACAAAAAATTTATAACAAAATAGAGAATTAAAAATCTATATAGGTTAAAATAATAAGAATGGTTGTGTAAAAAATTTAAATGACGTGAGTTTGTGAAACGGTAAGACACGGGTGCGTTTTTTTAACCTTTATTTTAAAAACCTGTTAAAATTTTTCATGGGAGGAGAATCGTGTTGAAGTGTGTTATAGTCTGACAGCTTGTCAATATTTTGATTGTCATCATTTTGGCTTGCGATTACTTTAGTTTACCCTCATTTGCCTCGTCAATATTTTATCTTGTCATCATTAAGGATTATCTGCATTTCAGCTTGTCATCATATTGGGTTGTCATAATTTTAGCTTGTGATAACTTAAGCTTATCTTTATTTAGCTTGTCATTATTTAGGATCATATTTATTTTGCTTTAGTATTTTTGATTATAGACATATTAAAAAATGGATACGTAATGAACATTGTTGTGTAAAGTAAGTAAAGCATTTGCAACGATCTGCGATCGGGTTATTTCTAAGATTTATACTGTGTTTTGATAAATTCATGTTTACAAATGATAATATTTAAAAAGTCATGGTCAAATTATAAGATAACCAATACAAAAAATTATTGCTTATAGATAAGTCGTCGAGAACAGTTCAAAATGAGAATATTTTTATTCTTATACTGTATTCTAGGGTAAATATAATAAATATATTATATTAGTGAAGCTGAAATGTGTATGACAGTATTTGATTATGAAATAGCTCCTAACGAGTAAGATTTTAGTTACTATTATTACTGTGATGCTACAAAAAAGTTTCCGGAAACCTTTAAATTTGGAGTGGCGACTTCAGCGTATCAAATCGAAGGCGCTTGGAATGAAGATGGCAAAGGCGTCAGCATATGGGACCATATAACGCACACTAAACCCTACCATATCAAAGATAATTCCAATGGTGATGTAGCTTGCGATTCCTACCATAAATACAAGGAAGATGTGATGTTACTAAAGGATTTGGGTGTGGATTTCTACAGATTTTCCATATCTTGGACTAGAGTTCTCCCAAGTGGTTACGTGAATAAGATCAACTGGAAAGGAGTGGAGTACTACAATAATTTGATTGATGAGCTGTTGAAGAATGATATAAAACCTATGGTAATTTTTTAATATCTTGTACAGATGGTTAATTTGCTTATAATTTTTAGGTAACTCTATATCACTGGGATCTTCCTCAAACTCTCCAGGAACTTGGTGGATGGACAAACCCTCTCCTAGAAGAGTATTACGCTGAATACGCAAGGTTGTGCTTCAAACTTTTCGGCGATAGAGTAAAACTATGGACAACCTTCAACGAACCAGACTTGGTTTGCAGAATGGGGTATGGTAGGAACTTACTGGCGCCGGCTTACAATAGCTCCGGCATCGGAGACTATCTCTGCGGCCATACTCTTTTGAAGGCTCATGCTAAAGCCTATCACATCTATGATGATGACTTTAGAAAAGAACAGAAAGGGCAGATAATTATAGTTTTGGAATTTAATTGGTTTATGCCCAAGACTAATACAACCAAGGATATAGGTGCAGCGGAAGCAGCCAGAGATTTTTCGGTAAATATTTTAGTTTTCTTTAAATAATCTTTAGTACAATAATCTAGTTTGGTTGGTGGGCGCACCCAATTTATCTAGGAAACTACCCCAAATCCATGATAGATCTAGTAGCGAAAAAAAGCGCAAAACAAGGCTTTCCTAAATCTAGGCTGCCCACTTTTACAGAAAAAGAAGTGGAATATATTAAAGGGACCTCGGACTTTTTGGGTTTAAATACGTATACAACTTTTCTGGCTGCGCATATGGAAAATACTAATGATACAATTGTCAGTTCGAGACACGATATTGGTTATTCTACATCTATTGAGCCTAAATGGGAGGATACGGCTAATCCATTGTTTAAGGTAAAGAATATTCATCAACGAATATTTACGTATATTTACTGTTTTATATTTCTAGATGGTTCCATGGGGTACAAGGCAAATGCTGAGGTGGATAAAAGAACATTACAACAGTCCTGAGATTTTTATCACGGAAAATGGATGTGCAGATAAAGATGCTTTGGATGATCAATTAAGAATCAAATATTATAGGGTAATATAAAAACACTATTACGAGGCAATTCGCGTATTTCGTATTTTTTTGTACAATTTGTATTATACAGGAACATCTTAAATCAATTTTGGACTCGATGTATGAGGATAAAGTTAACGTAACCGGATATACAGCCTGGAGTCTGATGGATAATTTTGAATGGATTGATGGATATAGGTAAGTTTATTACGTACTTTACCCCTTACCAGCACATTTATATTATTTTTTGTATAATTTTAGAACTAAATTTGGCCTCTACCACGTAGACTTCACAAGTCCAAATAGAACCAGAACACCTAAGGGCCGGTTTTTCAATTAGGGTTTAAACCTTGGTTCAGGGGAACTTAGATCAGTTAATGAACTCAGTTCACAGTAAAATGAGTTTTTCAATGTCGACTCAACAGCAGTTCTGTTGAACTTAGATCAGCGGTGTCAACGTTAAGTTGGTACAACCGAATTTAGTACACGCCTACATTAATAGTAGTTAAAACTGTCATTTTGACAAAAAGATTTTGTGTTTACTTTTGGAGTTTTGTTTATTTGTGCTGTTTTAAAAAGTTATAATCTGTGCGAAAGAGTGCTTTAAAACAATTTACTATTGTTAAAGAACAATAATTATTATTTATTATCGATAAAAATCGTGCTGCCAACTATACCTCTTTTAAGGAGGAATTATTTGTATGTATTTCGTTTTATATTATAAAATGAATTTGTCGTTTTTTGTTACATGTGATGAATTTTACTAAAATCTATTACCTATTCAGTAATTATTTTTATAACTAACCTATTAGTCGGATTTGCAATAACTGGTCTAATTAAATCCACTATCCTACGTACAAAAGGTTTGGAAAACCGAAATCTGGCAAAAAATTCATCATTAATCCACCTTTCAAAATGATTCGGTCTTACCCGTGGCATGTGCACACGAAGTTGAATATTATTTAGGAATTCGCCAATTTCCTCATCATCCTTACTAACTACCTCAAACATATCCATTGGTTTATTATAACAGCAGATCACAAAGAATAAACAACGTTATACACAATAACCAGAGAAAAATTAAGTTATGTCAAGTTGAACTTCGTTTAAACGGCCAACAGTGACAGTTCAACTTTTGATTTAGTTTAAACCAAGTTCAAGCTTGAACTTTGATTGAAAAACGTCATATTTTCTCCGAACTAAGTTCAAAGGCTGAACCAAGTTTAAACTATGATTGAAAAACCGGCCCTAAGTGTTCAGCGTCCTACATAAAGAAACTAATTAAAACTTACTGTCCAGTGGAAGAATGCGAATAACGTTTTAGTCTATTAAATTATATTTTTAAATAAATTATTGAGAAAATTCTGCATTTTACATAGGTACTATAAAAATACAGCATAGCATAGCATAGCTTTTCAGGTTTTTTCGACCTGCCGTCATGTACTTTTTTCTTTTGGCTTCTAGTGGTTGAGTAGAATAGCTTAAAGCTATACTTTGCCATACTGAAGCATATTTGTTTTGTTTATGTAATTTTTCGTTAAGGAATTAATAAAGTCGTTTTTATTTATTTATTTATTTATAAACGTCCTCTATTAACTAATTTCAAATGAGCAAACGCTGTATTTCCCAATAGACAAATAACCCATTCGCAAACATAAGTCAAAATTTATTTAACTCGTCCCTTCTTTATCCAAAGCCAATTTAAATCCGTCGCGGCGTTTAAACAACTCAACCCAACAGATTGCTTTTCGTTTTTGGTCATTTAATTTCAGAAAACGCGTTTAGTTACAAAACAATTATACGTTTAGCAATAATTAGGTTTTCGTGCCTTCCTAGAATGCAAATTAGCGCCCCCTATTGGACATAACCTAAAAACTATTAGACCATCATGATGGTCAAACAAAGAAAATATCAGCAATCTCAACATAAATTCGTTTTTTAAAACTTTAAAATATATATCTGGAACTTACAAATATATTAAATATATTTTAAATAAATTTTATATATAAAAATATACCTTCTGAACTCCAATTGTTTTTGACGCGGCCTAATAAAATACAATGCCAACAGAATAAGCTTTGTTGATAAATACTTCCGCATAGCCACTTATAGGTTTCGTACCAAGATATTTGAAAAGTTCTTCGTAATAAAGGAGTTTCAATTATTAAGAGAATAATGTCATGTACAGGATTCATTAAAAAAAAAACAGAAATATTTAACTAAAGAAAACTTACCGGTATTTTAAAAACCTAACCTTAATTAAAACTCAATACGACTTGTTGCTTAATAAAAACTGCTAATTCTACCTGTGTAGCACAATAATAAAATAATAAACTTTACTAATCGAGACAAAAACTAAATATTAGTATATTAAAGAACTAATGTCATAAGACGTAATTTTGTCGCACGCGGACAATTTATAATGGACAAGTGCGACAAAAGGTCTTATGACATGAGTTCTTTATGCTATTTTATCTATTCTGCAAACTTTTCATAATAGTATATTAAAGAACTAATCGTCACCCTAATATAACAAGGTTGTATGTTAAAAAACCGAAAAATTTGAGTTTATGCTTCTACAAGGTTTTATGTAATCCACCCTTGACATACAACTTGAAAATAACTATACATATAATATACATTCTATAGAATTATTTTTAAGTGGTATGTGAAGCGTAAGCCACGTATAATCCTGTAGAAACATAGACTTACATTTTTCGATTTTTTAACATACAACCTTGTTACATTAGTGTGACGTAATGTCACAAGACGTCATTTTGTCGCACGCGGACAATTTATAAAACGAGCGACGAAGGAGCGAGTTTTATATTGGACAAGTGCGACAAAAGGTCTTATGAGTTCTTTATGCTATTTTATATATTTTGCAAACATTTCATAAAACAAATTAATTTTATACCTTATATTTAATTTGGTCGAATTTTACTTTACATAGTTGGTATCTCAGTTTGAAGTTTGAAAGGTCATTAACCTTTCAAACATTATCACATTCTTTCGCTATGGCGTCGTTAATTTACAATAAGTATTTACAATAAGCGGCTGTTAAAGAAGAAAAAAGGATTTTCTTTTGTGTTAAACAAAATTTATTGCACGAAAAGTCTCGTAAGTACTAGAAAACAAATCATAAAAATATTATAACCTATAGGTATTCAATATTTTATTTTACTAGTAGCCAACCTATAAAATCAAAATTTTGGGTGGAATAAAGTACCTCATTAAAGAACCAAAAGCGGTGTTATAATGAAGTCATTATGAACGCGAAATAGATAAAACAAATTAATTTTATTCCTTATATTTAATTTGGTCGAATTTTACTTTACATAGTTGGTATCTCAGTTTGAAGTTTGAAAGGTCATTAACCTTTAAAACATTATCACATTCTTTTGCTATGGCGTCGTTAATTTACAATAAGTATTTACAATAAGCGGCTGTTAAAGAAGAAAAAAGGATTTTCTTTGGTGTTAAACAAAATTTATTGCACGAAAAGTCTCGTAAGTACTAGAAAACAAATCATAAAAATATTATAACCTATAGGTATTCAATATTTTATTTTACTAGTAGCCAACCTATAAAATCAAAATTTTGGGTGGAATAAAGTACCTCATTAAAGAACCAAAAGCGGTGTTATAATGAAGTCATTATGAACGCGAAATAGATAAAACAAATTAATTTTATACCTTATATTTAATTTGGTCGAATTTTACTTTAGATAGTTGGTATCTCAGTTTGAAGTTTGAAAGGTCATTAACCTTTCAAACATTATCACATTCTTTCGCTATGGCGTCGTTAATTTACAATAAGTATTTACAATAAGCGGCTGTTAAAGAAGAAAAAAGGATTTTCTTTGGTGTTAAACAAAATTTATTGCACGAAAAGTCTCGTAAGTACTAGAAAACCTTTCAAACATTATCACATTCTTTCGCTATGGCGTCGTTAATTTACAATAAGTATTTACAATAAGCGGCTGTTAAAGAAGAAAAAAGGATTTTCTTTTGTGTTAAACAAAATTTATTGCACGAAAAGTCTCGTAAGTACTAGAAAACAAATCATAAAAATATTATAACCTATAGGTATTCAATATTTTATTTTACTAGTAGCCAACCTATAAAATCAAAATTTTGGGTGGAATAAAGTACCTAATTAAAGAACCAAAAGCGGTGTTATAATGAAGTCATATATGAACGCGAAATAGATAAAAAAGATTAGACAACAGTTTTAAATAATTTAATCTGAATCAAAACAAAAACACACACTGCAACACAAACTGCCACCCACAATATTTTTAGTCATGTGATATAAAACCACCAATTAGAGCAAGCCCAAGCTCCAATTCTCTCGCCTGAAGCAGCGACAAATAGACGCGAACTCGCCTGATATATTAGTAGGTAAATAGTTAATAGTAATTACGCTCTTTGCTCGTTTTGATGCTAACGCATTAAAATTAATTTAAAATGTTTGATAAGGACTTTTAAAAATGCGGTAAATAAATAAGAAAATAATTGGTTGAAAAAGGCCCACAGGGCACTTATTGTACCCCTCACAGCCTGATGTTAAGTGCTGTTTCCTGAAATCAAATCAACTTCTTAAACCAGACAGAGTTTAACCGAAATTTTTAATATTTAATAAGATTTTCTGAAAGATTCTGCTTAATAAAAGTGCTTATAATTTATTTGAAGTGAATTTGATAACTAGGTTAACATAAAGGGCGTTCCAATAAAAGTTTACTACCTTTTTAAATCTAGATAGGCAATGGCTTTAAGACATTATGCATAATTGCAAAATTCTTTGTAGGGATATTATGGGAAGAAAAACGTTGATAACAGACAAAATTGATGATTGTAGTATGGCTGCCTTTAAGCAAATAATTAGAGTAGAAGAGCCTTCCGGGTGCTAAATTTTCCATTCTTCATTTTCTACTGTACAGAAGTTTAATTTGGTATTATTCTTAAATTTTATGTGGTAAGGCAAAATTTTCAATTTTGCACCGATGGAATATACAACTTAAACATATATATATATATATATATATATATATATATATATATATATTATATTATATATACATCTTATTTATATTTATATTATATATACATCTTATTTAAATTCAAAAAACCTTATATCTTGGTATTTTATTTAATTAATTATTTAAAGAAAGTATAAAAACGCCATTTTTTTAATATTATAGTATAAATATTTATTAAATTTAGATGCAGAAAAACTGGATTTTACCTACTGCACATGCATTAACAATAACTGATAACTGATTTTTAAATAGATTAGCTTAAAAAGTTACAAAACACGCCATAGTGTGACAGGTGGGACAAATTATAATAATTAATAAAAAATTTAAATTTTAATTAATACACTTGAAATTACCCCCAAATATTTGATATTATTGACTTCATTTGCTATTAAAATCTGCTTTCAAAAAAATTATTATTTCTATTAAAATCAAAACTATTTTGGTTTTTTTTGTGACGGGTGGGACAAATAGGCATGTCAATTAAAACAATTAATTTAACAGATAATAACTTACCTTCTTTTGATAAACGTTAAACAATCTTAACAATAAACACTTATTTGAATAAATTTTAAGTTAGACAGTTCTTAAAAAGAGCCAGATCATTAATACAAAGCCAAATTATTTACTTATATTTTACATCGAAAATAAATAAACAAATTAAATAAGTTCAAGCTAATAAATAAATACTTTATTTTAATTTTAATATTTAGTTTGTATTGTTTTTGTTTATTTTAAGCCTTTAAAATTTAAAATTTAATATTTATATATTAAATATTAAATGTTTAATTTTTACAAAAAAGTTCAAATTTTCGTGGAATGTCCCTATACGAGTTGTTGTTACTATAGTAACAACTTTTACGACATTATATTAGGAGATAGGCAATGCAATTGCAGTTTTAAATGTAGCGAATGTAATATTTGTATTCATTTTTACTTATGTTCATGTATAGATTCCAGTATTAAATGGAATATTTGCAAGCACGTACATGCGCTTGCAAAATTTAAAAGTTTAGAGACTCAAAAGCATACAGAACAAAGAAAAGACAATGAAAATGCTGAACAGCTAGAATTAGTTATTAATTCAAAAGAAGTAGAATCTGAAACATTTTTAAATTGTCTTAAAACTACGCAGCCTAGTATGGAACGCCGTTGTATTTTTTAATTAGGAATTTCTAATATCACTTTAGAATTTCAGATATCTGAAATTAATTTCAGATATCTAAAATTATAGGTATTAAAAAGTACTTTGGCGTTCCGTTAACGCCAAAATATTTTTTAATGAGGAATTTTTGTTGTAACTTTAACTAATAGTCATATTTGTAATTACAATTAATTGTGTCAACTGTTTTAAACAATATTTATAATCGAACTAATTTTAAACTCAAAAATAATGTGGAATTAAAAATATCAAAGTGACCCTAAAATTAAAGTAAATTTTTAATTCAAAGTGATATTTCTAATTCACAGGA